CCGGCCAGTCGCCCCCAGCCCAACTCTGGCCGTCGCCGTTGCCGCCGGGGGGAGGAGGGCCATGATCCAAAGGAGCCAGAGCAGTTGAGGAAGCTGTTTATTGGTGGTCTGAGTTTTGAAACTACCGATGATAGTTTAAGAGAATGAGAGATCCTCAAACAGAACGCGCCTGAGGCTTTGGCTTTGTGACTTACTCTCGTGTTGAAGAAGTGGATGCCGCAATGTGTGCTTGACCACACAAAGTTGATGAGCGTGTAGTGGGACCAAAGAGAGCTGTTTCTAGAGAGAAGTCAGTAAAGCCTGGTGCCCGTCTGACAGTGAAGAAAATTTTTGTTGGTGGTATTAAAGAAGATACAGAAGAATAGAATTTGAGAGACTACTTCGAAAAATATGGCAAGATTGAAACCATAGAAGTTATGGAAGACAGGCAGAGTGGGAAAAAGAGGATTTGCTTTTGTAACTTTTGATGATCACAACACAGTCGATAAAATTGTTGTTCAGAAATACACTATTAACGGGCATAATTGTGAAGTGAAAAAGGCCCTTTCTAAACAAGAGATGCAGTCTGCTGGATCACAAAGAGGCCGTGGAGGTGGATCTGGCAACTTTATGGGTCGTGGAGGAAACTTTGGAGGTGGTGGAGGGAATTTTGGCCGTGGTGGAAACTTTGGTGGAAGAGGAGGTTATGGTGGTGGAGGAGGTGGCAGCAGAGGTAGTTATGGAGGAGATGATGGTGGATATAATGGATTTGGAGGTGATGGTGGAAACTATGGTGGTGGTCCTGGTTATAGTAGTAGAGGAGGGTATGGTGGTGGTGGACCAGGATATGGAAACCAAGGTGGTGGATACGGTGGTGGTGGAGGAGGATATGATGGTTACAACGAAGGAGGAAATTTTGGTGGTGGGAACTATAATGATTTTGGAAATTACAGTGGGCAGCAGCAGCCAAATTATGGACCCATAAAGGGGGGGACAGTTTAGGTGGAAGAAGCTCTGACAGTCCCTATGGTGGTGGTTATGGATCTGGTGGTAGAAGTGGTGGATATGGTAGCAGAAGGCTTTAAAAAACAACAGAAAAGACCTACAGTTCTTAGCAGGAGAGAGAGCGAGGAGTTGTCAGGAAAGCTGCAGGTTACTCTGAGACAGTCGTCCCAAATGCATTAGAGGAACTAAAAATCTGCCACAGAAGGAACGATGATCCATAGTCAGAAAATCTACTGCAGCTTAAACAGGAAACCCTTCTGGTTCAGGACTGTCGTAGCCACAGTTTGCAAAAAGTGCAGCTATTATTACGGACTTTTTTCTTTTAATCATTCTCACAGGCTTTACGGGAAGATTGTGGAGGCACAGGCAGAATTATGGCTCTGTAGCAGAAAATGCCTCCCAGCCAGTCTGTCAGTTGCCCAGGATTCCTCCCATTTACTTCAGCTCCTGTTACTTCTGTCTTCTAGAAATGGCTGGTCACCATGATCCATAGCTGGTTACCCTGATGCATAGCTGGTCACCCTGATGCATATTGTCAGAACCAATCAAAGACAGCCAAGTACTCTGCTTCTTGCTTGCAATGCCATAAAAACCTCCCTCCCTGGTCCTCCTGGGCCTGACATTTAAAAGGATAATTGATTCCTTGCCAGTGCCTGTTGATGTAAATAAATCTGCCTCCAAATCCTGAAAGAAAAAAAAAAAAAGAGCAGCTATTGATTAATGCAATGTAGTGTCAATTAGATGTACATTCCTGAGATCTTTTATCTGTTGTAGCTTTGTCTTTTTCTTTCTTTTCATTACATCAGGTATATTGCCCTATAAATTGTGGTAGTGGTACCAGGAATAAAAAATTAAGGAATTTGTAACTTTTCAATATTTGTGTAGTTCAGTTTTTCTACACTTTAGTTCAGAAACTTTTAACAAAATGCAGTTTTGAAGGTGTTTCCTTGTGAGTTAATAAGTAAAGAAGACCATTGTTAATTACTATTTTGTATGAATTTTGCTAAAGTTAACTGTAAAGAAACACCTACTGACTTGCAGATTAAGGGGAAAAATCAATTTTTTTTAAAACACACACTGCAAACATACAAATGTTTATTCTCTCCACATGTCAGTGAGCATTTGTATCCCCCATTTCAAACCATGATACAAATGGGCACTGACATGTGGAGAGAATAGACATTTGTATGTTTGCAGTGTGTGTTTTAGATAAAATAGGATTGGTGTTTAAATTAGCATATTTGTGAATTTAATAGCATTAAGATTATTTTCAAATGAGAAAACCTCAAAAAGATTGGCTTAAGGAGTAAGAATTAAAAAGCATTTGCATGTTTTTAAATATTTAAGAAATGATCTTACAGAAGAATAACTCAAACCTCAGAGTATAAAAGGACCATCAGATAAAGATGTCAAATAGGCTTGTTTCCACTCAGTATAAAGAACATGTTCTGTCATTTAGATTCCCTCACCCCTTTATTATTTTGCAAAACCTTTGTCTTAGAAGTAATGACAGTGGGACCATTCTGCTGTCAAACACCTCATTTGCACTGTGATTTCTCTCAGTGTCCAGCTCCTTCTTTCTTTACTGATAAGTCATCCGCTTGAGGGAGGCAGCAGGAGCCCAGCTGAGAATATGTGCCCAGGATTCAGCTGAGAAACCAAGAGGCTCTTGGGCAGTGAGCTAACCTTTGTGCACTTGAGTATTTTCATTTGTAAGATGGAGGTGGTTGGCCCTTTCCTCATAAGGGTACTCTAAGAACTGGGTGAGTTAATGCATTTCAAGTACCTGATGAGTATTGCACTGGTAGGCGCTGACACCCAGAGTTCTGTCACATGGCTAGTGCCTGTGTTGAAACACGAAAGTGGAGTGCTAGGAAGAAGCTCAACAACCATGTTTCATTAACATTATAGCAAGACTTTCTACATTTGAGCAGATGGATAGATTCCATTCTTTTAAGTATCATCACATTATGAAATTGGAATCTGGCAGAAAAGAAGCTTAGGACCGGTCCCTTGCATGTGTAAGGAACACAAATGCTTAGGGCTGACTCTTCAGGGTTTTCCTTTCTCTTCCATTTCTGAAGTAACTTTCTCTGGTGGAAGATACCATGCTCTTTTGGAATATTACCTAGCTTCCTTTCTTTATTATAGACAGATACAATTTTGTTTTTATATTTTAAATGAGATATTAGGTTTGGAAAGTTGCTGTTTCCTTCTTGTTCCTGGGGCTAGAGAGATGGCTTAGTGGAATAAGCGTTTCCCTGACAAGTGCAAAGGCCTGCGTTCAGTCCTCGGTTCCGCAAAAAAAAAAAAAAAAAAAAAAAAAAAGACCCCTTCTTGTTCCCTTTTGTGACTTTCTCCTCAGAACAAGTGAGAAAGTAAGGACTTTCTCACTATAGTTATTACAGATATTTACAATGAGATAAGAATACACATTTGTGAACTTCTTATGTGTTCCAGAATGTATTCAGTATATTTACTGTAGTCCTTTCTATTTAATTAATTTTACTATGGATAAGAGCATTCTTATGGAGTTGCACTTCTTGTTTTCAGATTAGTTCTGCCTCTTGCTCTGGTCCTTTGGCCAGTTCCTTCTCTGTTCTGAACTCTTTCCCTCATGTGTGCATTCGAATTACTCAAAGTGCTAACTTTGCTGACTGGGGTATGAAGAAGTAAATCGGTGTGTAGAAGGAGTCTGGCCTCGGCAAGTCCTTGTTGATGTTGGCTGTCCTCCGTGGAGTCAGTACAGTCGAGCACTGACCTATGGCACATCACGCATTGGTGCTAATTCAGTTCCCAGAGCACTTAACTGAATAATATACAGAGTATAAGTGCCCTTCCCATAAAGCTCTTATTCTAATGGGTGGATATAATAGAATTATGTGCAGTAAGTATGAATAGAGGCTGTGGATGGAATGGTCTGCCTAAGACTCAGAACATTCAAGACTGATCTGATTAAAACATTTAACTTTTTTTTTTTTTGGTTCTGGATTTGAACTCAGAGCCTCATGCATGCCAGACAAGTATTCTTCCACAGAGCTACCCCAAGACCTTAAAGCAACTCATGTTTAAAGTGAAAATTTGCTTACCCCTTCTAAGAGGCATTTGCATTTTTCAAAAGATTAACTGGAGAATTTAAACATTTGGTATAAATTAGGGACTTAGCTCTTCCCTCTTGCAGGGCTTATTATTGTTAGCCTGCCTGTCCTCCTCCCTTTTCCTTCACATCTTCCTGCCCTATGCCTTTTCTCTAGGAAAATAAATGCAGAAACCTGCTCTGCCCTGTGAGGCATGGTGCCCACAAGGCTCCCATCCTTCCACCTGGAGATTGACCCCACACTCAGCAGTGTGTCCTACAGAGTCCTTGCCTAGGGAAGATATGCAGAGCCTGACCCAGTAAGCCATGAATGCTGCCCAGAGACATAAAGGAGCGTCTATGTATTGCTCGAAATATAGGATGTTTGTTAAGGCGAGAGATTTCCTTTATATGATGTTAAATATATTGCTTTAGGCTTTTTTTTTTTTTTTTTTTTGGTAAGTATAGAAGAATACTTGAGGTACTTGATTTATATGAGATTTTTATTAAGAACAAGAGAAAGACATGAGAGGAAGAGGGAGAGAGGGAGAGAGGGAGAGGGAGAGAGAGAGAGAGGGAGAAAGGGAGAGGGAGAGAGAGAGAGAGAGAGATTAAATGTCCTAGGTGTTCCTGAATTAAATTGTTATGGTTAGCTAACCATAATAACAGCCAGTTTTCTACAGCTAAAAATATTGAGGAGAGAGTAAAACTTAAAGCGTAAAAACATAACATTGCTAGATATGTAAGCACTAAGTGCCAGACTTTGAAGTATGTGTGGTACAAAGTTGAAGAACTCTGTCAAAGAACTGTATGAAACAGTCTCAAGGATATGTTTTCTTTTAATGAGTAGGTGGTGTACATTATTTGAATTTTTACTTTCATAAATTACTACTCTGCCTAGACAGTGTTTTAATCCTTTTTCTTTTCTTTTTCTTTTCAGCTTATGGAAAAGTGTTTCTAGTTCGTAAAGTAAGTGGTCATGATGCTGGAAAGTTGTATGCCATGAAAGTTTTGAAGAAGGCAACAATTGTTCAAAAGGCCAAAACCACAGAGCATACAAGGACAGAGCGACAAGTCTTGGAGCACATTAGGCAGTCGCCATTTTTGGTGACATTGCACTATGCCTTCCAGACAGAAACTAAACTTCATCTCATCTTAGGTAGGTGTCAGTTGTTTTTATACTTTTGATGAGAACGTTTTTTCCCAGGTCTTGAGTTACAACTCACTCAAAGGACAACAGACTTCCTTTAGAAGAAATGAAATTTAGAAGAAATGAAATGTTTTAATTATTGTTCTTTTCTTTCCTTGAACAATGTACATTGTCTGGGTTGGAGACGTTCCAATTTGAAGACGCTCATGTGCTTCTATTACATACTCCATTGTTAATCATAAAAAAGTTATTATTCTCTTGCAAGGAGCTGAATGGTGAAGTGGGCCATGATTTCTACTTTAGGAACTCTCAGGAATGTACAGGTTTGGGCTGACAAGGGGGCAATTTTATAGGAACCAATAATGGTGGGAAATAAAAAGGAACACAAAAATTTGTATTCCTACAGATGCTCTTCATTTCCTGTCAGAAAGCTGGACTACAAAGGGAGCAGCCACTAATCAGTCAACTCATGGGTCATCCCCTTTTCCCACGTAGGCTCTTGGTTTCTTTCCCAGTTGGACTGCTGGTGGTGATCTTTAGGAAAGTCTTCAACATACATTGCCAGATAACTCTGTAGAAAAGTTACACCATTTTCTGTGCCTTCAAGAAGTACATGGCAGTTCTTCTAGTATACCGTGCCACCATTGACTATTTCATGGCCCCTTGCTAAGTTAATTTGTATGTCTGTGTTATAATTCTCTCCTAAAACTGTAGTGCAGTTCAGCTAAGCTAGTTTCACATCCTGCTCTGGAAGCATGAACTGTTTCTGGGTGCTTGTAGTAAGCACATCCTTCTGTTGAGTTGACCTCAGTATCCATGACCCACCTAAGACCGCAGGATCCTCCCATCTGGAGGCTGCGCGTCCTGAAGTTACAAATCTTGCATAACCTTAAAAATTAAAATTGAGACTTGGGTCTGACTCATTCCAAAGTCTGGTTTTTATTGGCCAAATATTGCTTCCTCCTTTTTTTTTATTAGTAGCAGTATAAACAAATTTTTTATACAAATTTGGCTATTGAGTTAAATGATCTCATTTGAAAGCTAGGTTTTCATTTAATGGTACCTACATTTGCTTTCTCTTTCAGCCATGGAGTTACACTTCAGGCTCATTGTGAAATCCTGGTGCTATCTGTATGTCTGTATATAGGGAAACAGCTTTCCTGTCCTGTCCCCACTAATGGTAGCATCTGGGTCCAGTGAATAAAACCACTTGTCTTTCATTTTGCCTCTTTCATATATCTGCTATATGCTACTGCCTTTTTCCTTCCTTATCAGTCGTCCATAGATAAACAGATACAGAGCAAAACAAGAAAACCCATTCTGTGCCAGCTCAAGAATTCACTGTGGTGCGACAGCTTATTCATTTGGTAACAAGTGGAGTGCTGTAGAAAACATGCCCTTCTGCCCACATAGACTTAACTTGACACAATTTCTCTTTGTGTATGTCCATGATAGTTGTTTTCAACTTAAAAGAAGAAAGCTTTTCAGAAATGCAGAACAGGACTTGATTATAAATTATTTTTCTGCTTCAGTGATTGTTTGCAGCACTCTACTGCAGAGTGATCCATTTTTCCAAAAACTTTGCTAGGCATTCAGTAGTACTTACAGACAGATCTTGTTTTTAAAGTGAATGACATATTATAAAAAATATTCTGTTACTGCAAAAGTACCAGGTGTGTATATAAAAGATGTAGGAAAGAAAATAAAAACATATTTTCATTACACAAAGTTTACCTTATTACAACAGTCCATGACAGAAGATGGCTTGACTTGGCATCTTTCACCTTCAGGCTAGTGGAAACAGAATAACACATTCAGTAGAAGCTACACTTCAGAGTTCTGAACTTTCCCAGACTAATGACGTGTAGTCCAGTCTGCTTGGTGCTGGGCAGTGGAAACGAGCTGCAGCACCCAGCCACTGCCACGATCACTGACAGCCGAGACTGTCAGTAAACTGTGTGCTAGGATGGTAAGTTAGGTAAACTAACTGCAGTTTCAACTTACTATATTCTTAACTTACAGTGGGCTTATTGGGATGTGACACTATCTTAAGCTGAATATATGTACAATAATAGTATTTGTCCTACTAAATATTTTCTGTATGTCTGTGTACCTGCATAGTTTATCAAAATGAGAGTGTCATGTACATATTATTTGTAATTAGTTTTTTTTAGTTAATTACATCTGTCATTCCCAGCTAATAAATTTTCACTTCATTTAATCCCCAGTTATAAAATTTGTAGCTGACCAGAGCCAGTTATGATGGCACACTACTGTAATTCTAGCACTCAGGAGTCTGAGGCAGGAGGATTGCTGTGACTTCAAGGCCATCCTGGGCTATATAGTGAGCTCAACATCAGCCTGAAACACAAGCAAGACCCCGTCTCCAAAATAAATTGAAGCTGTATAACAAACTACTAAAATTTAGTATAAACTACAATAATTTATTTTCTCACACTTGCTGGCTTACCCCGGGCTTATCCACATGGTGTTATCAGCAGTTAGCTGGGTTAGAAGGACCAAGGTGGTTTTATTCTCAGACCTGGCAGTCAGTGCAGGCTGTTGGTGGGCAATCTCAGCTCTCTCTACGCATGGCCTGTCATCCTCCAGTCCCATAGATCGGCTTCTTCATAGCCTGGTAATGTGAGCACAGCTCATGAAGACAGTCAAGGGGGCAAAGGTAGAGACAGAATGCAAGGGCCCTGAGACGAAGTCCTGGAACTCACCCAGCCTCCAGCCCACACCTGACCACCTGTTTTCATGTTAGGAGGGAAACTGCAAAGAAATTACAGCCATTATCTGTGTATTCAAAGTGGTTAGGATAGATATATAGCTACATTCTCTTAATGAATAGAGGGATTTGTTCTAATGGTGTTAGTAAATAGGATCTCAAGTCCGCATCTTGTACAGCAATTAACCACTAGGAAGAATATATGCAATGTGTTAATTATTGAAACTGTCCTACCAATTTGGTTTGAAACTGTCTCATTGCTATTTGTTTCTCAATAAAATTATGGAAAAAAAAGAAATTATGGCCATCTATCACATAAACCCATATTCAGACATCACTAATGGTCACATAATTATCCTTTATAACTTTTTCTTTTTTTTTTCTGTTTCTTGGAGGAGTTTTGGAGGGGAGAGAATGGAATCTCACTATGTTGCCCAGACTGTTCTCAAACTCCTGCATTCAAGTGATCTTTGTGCCTCAGTCTCCTGAGCACATGGGGTGCATACAGCAGTAGGCCTGGCCAACTGGTTTGTGCAAACTAGGAATGCTTACTTGATTGTGTTGCTGTAGTGTCTTTTAGCTTATTCATGCTCTGCTGAATTCTAATAATTGAGAAGACAGATTTGAAGACTTGATAAACTGAAATTAAGCATTTTGATCTGGAATATACCATAGGAAATATTGTGTGTTTTATATAATATCAAATTATAAGAAACCTAATTTTGATTAACACGGTCTCACTTTAACTTGGTTTTAAACACCCAGCAGAAAAGTATAACCAAAAGATGTATGAAAATAATGCCGTGGTAATAAAGGCTAGATGTAAAAAGGGACTCCATTCACTGACCTCTCCTGGAAGTTTCCAGGTACACCAGTAGCTGACCACTGCTATGGTGCATTAAAGAAAAACTACAGTGGAATCCATAAAGGCTCAGCAAGTCTTTAAATTCCTTAGATAAAATTGTCCTTCAAAACCACTGGACTCTCCATGTTTTTATAGCTAAAGGTAGAAGGACTTAGCACAAGAAGTATCAGACTTTTAGATAACTCCATTAGAGGAGGGGTCTAGCAGCCGCCTGTTACAGGCCCTGTTCCACTTAAGAGCAGTTTCTGGACATAGCTTTTTCCCCAACTTGCCTTTGCATTCTAGCACTCATATTTTGATTATACATGCTTTAATTTCTTGGAAAATTTGTTTATTCTTGCCTAGATGCTGCCAGACTCCAAGTGTTCATGCAGATAGATGACAAATGTGTTAGACTCCTTTTAGTGAGATTCACTAGATTGACCTTATAAAGGGAGTTTATGCCTGCTAACTGAAACAGGATTTCTAAACAAAGCCCATTGGATTAGCTGTTTGGAAAAGGCCCCTAACTGGTTTTCCACACCAAATCTTCTCAGCTTGAAGCAATGAGATAGAAACTATGCCCCTTCTCTCCATACTGCAGCTAGAGATACTCCTTCAGAAGGGGGAATATTATAGACAGCTAAATTAGGTAGAAATATGGTGTGCAGACAGGGCTGGGCCCTTGAGGGAGTCAGCACATAAGATAGAAACACAGGGAAACTGTGGCTGGAGGTGCACAAGGTCTTAATGGTTAGATTTGCATGTGTCCCTAAGGGATGAACGGGGTTTGGGATTATTTGTATTGCCCTTGTGAGACTTCTCATTGTCCCATTAGGGGTGGGCCATCCTCTCCCACACACTCAGACTGAAACCACTAAGACTAAAGATTAAAACCATGATATGTCTTTGTCTGTTCAAATCTACTTCTGAGACCTATAGTGATTTTTACCATTTTCTTCTTACCATATTTCTTGTTAACTTTATATATTCTGTCATTCTCTTCCACTGTTTCTTCTAAATAATAACTGAAAGTTATTAAATTGTATAGATTAACTTTATATCCTGCTAACTTAACTGTATTTTCTTACATTCCCAGTGTGCTTATCCCCCCACCCCCATTTCTGCTCAGCCTGCTCCATGCTGTGTTTGGAGTATTTGCTTTACCTTTTACTTTTGGAGTAGGTCATGGAGGTCTGCAATTATTCTTGCTATTTTTTAAGATGTTGTGGGAGCAGTAATAGAGAATAAGGTGTAGGCTGGCGTTAGCTCCTTTTGGTATTCATGGTTCCCTATTGATGACTTTTGACAGGGTTTATTCCACTAGGATAAAATATGCTTCTCCAAATGATAATTATGATAGCAGTATCTTGTGAGATCCTTACTTGTGATACTTGTGTTTAGTAGCTGGTTAGAGCAGACTAGCATTTCTAG